CACGAGAGAGTTGGCATACAAATATAGCAGAGGATACCAAGGAGAAATTTAAAACTCACTCGAGATGAACTGACAAAGATATGGCAAAAAAAAAAACTAAAGCCGATGAAAAGACAAACAAGTTCACAAAACACTGCATAAAAAATGAAGCCTGAGCAACACCAGCCCACCCAAATACTCTAGGTGATATAAGGAGCTCCCGAATGGTAAGTTTATCATTCTCCCATGGTGGCATCTATCGTGTTGCTCATGGTCACTATAAATTCGCTGATGAGTCTCATTAGGGTGATGTCACAATCTGCTTACGAAAATTGGAAACAATTGTAACACAGATATCCGACAACGGTCAATCAACTCTTGATGGTCGACTTAAGCTTTACCACTTGGTCCAATAGTTTCCTTGTAAGCAGCAACTCTATATCAAAGAAATCATTATGGGAAACACAAGCTCTGGAATATCATATCAAATGCAATATGTTTACTCCATATGTATACAGACGCTGCTAGAATGTTACTTCATAATAATGGGGAGATCACAACTGGAAAGCTGAAATCATCTCTTTCGTAGTAAAGTTTTGTTCTCAACTGACCCTCATTGTCAATTTCTAGATGAAGGTCACGATATAAGGCAGATTTAGTTGTCTTTGTTGTACGTTCCATGTTATAGATGTTTAACATAGTCACCAAACTTTGAATCCTATATATATATATATATATATAAAACGAAAGCTGATTTTTATCAACTATAGTTAGAGGAGGGGATAAGGTGTCTGCGCAATGCTAGGCGGTGTTGTCGTAGAAGTTAGAAAATTAAAAGTACAGGTTCCAGCCCCGCTCGGGGAGGGAGTAAAGAAACAGATCTACTCTAACATCGTTAGGTTGATTTTCTAGGCACTTTATACATATTCTAACGCCTGGTATTTCTTAATCATAAGAAATCCGATGGACAAGGTATAATTTGCAGTTGTCACTACACATAGGCAGACGTAAACATATATTAATTTACAGTGATTGTATGCTTCTAAAAATAGATTAGCATCCTGTAATTATACTGAAGAGATGAGTAGATGATCATTTCTGTACACTAAAAGAATACTTCGTGTATTGTATCAGATATCCTTGTTTAATTCCTACGAGAAGGTAACACCTCCCGAAACGAAAGCTGATTTTTATCAGCTATAGTTAGAGGAGGGGATAAGGTGTCTGCGCAATGCTAGGTGGTGTTGTCGTAGAAGTTAGAAATAAAAAATACAGGTTTCAGCCCCGCTCGGGGAGGAAGTAAAGAAACAGATCTACTTAACATCGTTAGGTTGATTTTCTAGGCACTTTATATATATATATATATGTAACACTCTCAAACGTGTCCATCCCCCCAAACGTGTCCGATCCCCCCAAACGTGTCTATTCTCCCCAAACGTGTCTATTCTCCCCAAACGTGTCCTTAATATTCAATATAGTCCAAACATGTCCGATTTCATAACCCCCAAACGTGTCCGATAATTGTTATTCGCCAAAACGTGTCCACTGTTAAACGCCAAAATGTCTCACGTCTTTTAGCGCTAATACATGTATGTCCTCAATGACGTCAATAACGTTTACGGCAATTCCATGATGGGGTACACAGTTGATGAAGTGGTTATTTATTAGGATTAGTTTGTTCAATGCCGTTGGTTAATGATTATCATAATTGCAAATTTCATATATATATGAATTAACTTTTGACTGTAATTGCTTAATGTCCAGTTGCAAGTATTTCATGCTCATTTAGTTGACTAAGTGAATTATTTTGTACTAATAAACTCCGATGATGCCTTTTATATTAATCCTGTCTGCGAATATTGCACAGCGGGCTTTCAGCAGAATTGACTTCCCTTTTTTCAACAGTTCTGAAATTTAAAAGCTCTTCAAATCATATACTGGTTATCACTGATCAGGTTTTGTAATAAATTTTAAGTTTCGAGCATCACTAAAGACACACGAACAAGAGACATAACGTCAAGTGTCAAATATTTCATGCATTATTTGAACGACATCATATTAACAATGAGTACTGTAGATAGGTTCTATTATTAAACCGGGAATTTAGGATTGAGCCTAAATTTTTACGGTTATTCGGGATTAACACTAGTTGGGATATTAATCTAAAAAATTTAAGAGCGAGTAAAGACCGATTTTTTTATGACTTCAGTAAGAAACTAATGCAATCTCCGTTATGTAATAGAGGCAGAAATTTAAACTGCCACTAGAAAAAAATGAATACGGACAAAAATGTTGCTATCCGAAATACAACTGATGGCACCATGAAAGAGTTGTTAGAAAGGTTTTAATCTGCAGAGAAAGGGACATATCCCTACACGAGGTATCTGATTTAATATCAACAATTTAACTGAGCGTGGCTGCTTACATTTACATCCGACATAACTGAACAGACGCCCAACTTTAACCCAGGTTATATACCTAAAGTACATTATTTTTATTTTTTGATAAAATTGTAAAATGAGTATACGTTAATGAAATGGCAATAACCAAAAAACGGACGTATTTATAAAATAGACACGAATGATCGTTCAGTAAAAGAAAGAAAACAAAAGCTTGATATGGACACGTTTCGGGGATTGGACACGTTTGGGCGTTCATACAAATGACACGCTTTGGCGCCCTTTTAAATTAAGACATGTTTTGCAGTTCAGTGACGTTATGTGGACACGTTTTGGGGAATCGGACACGTTTGGGGGGATGGACACATTTCTGAGTGTTACATATATATAAGTACGTTTAAACAAGTGACAACTCTACGACAGATCCATCCATTGGATCACCAGTGAAGGTGATACACGGCTGAAAACACATATTATATTCATAATTACTCTAAATATCAGAACAACAATGTTAAATCTGCAAATTTGCGGAAGCAAATATTTGTTCTTCCCTCGCCGGGATTCGAAATCATGCTATTAGGATATCGATACAACACCGCAATATATATATATATATATATATATACAAATCTAAATTGAAAACAACGTTCAAACCTATGATTGCGTTGGATAAAAACTGCAATTTTTATACTTGTGCATGCAAAACAAATTTCTTGTTAGAGGGGTCTAAATACAGCACAAACAACATTTTCCAAAAGACCAAAAAAGTGAAAAAGTAGATTTTAACAAAACGCATTTGACTAACAGGTCGAACAACAAATGTTCTTAAATCCTGTTGACTGCCATTGGCGATTGCCAAATAAACGGATCACAAGGTGTAATAAATGGATCTTAACTAAAAATTAACTATATATATATATGAGTTAAAGGATAATTTTCAAAAATTAAGGAATCACAAGTTTACTGATGTTCAAATCTCAAGAATCATAAAGAAAAATCAAGGTTACAACAAAAACTGAGGAAAGAGAATGAACTCCTCCAAAAATAGCGAGACCTGGTGCGTACAAAGGGTTCGTCTCCTCCTATGCATACCGCCATGCAAATCTACACTCAGTCAGTAATTGGACATAATCTTCAAAATAAAAGATAAAATGACTATTCTGATATCTAAAGATCTGAGATTGTGAAAACCTGCCGCTAGTGAATTGAGATTAAAATAGATTCCTGCCTCCTGAGAGGAATTTACTTTCGAGGGGACTATAATGACTGGAAGGTGTAGACCACCTGAGACAAGGAAGGATGAACCAAAATGGGTGTTAAAACTGGGAGTGAACCCAAACAGAAATCCCAAGCAGGTCACTGTTGGAATGGTTGCTGATCAGGACGCATGGATAGGTCAGTCAAAAAGGGATAAGACTTGGCAAAACAGAGTCAAGCCCAAATTATGTGAAACAACTGGCAACCCTTAGGTTTGGTGTTTTAGATAAGGGTATATAAGCTCCCCATAGTGATATAGGTAAGGAACTCTGCATTGTGTTTTTGTGTACTTGAGGGAGATGTAGACCACTAAAGGAAACTGCAGCCCCATTTTATCGACGGAGGTGTTCAGGAGACCACTAACTGGACACGTCGATGTAAAAAATCATCTAATTTTGATAATGTTTTTACATTAAATGATCAGCTGAATGGCAAAAATAGACAGTCAACACATTGATAAGTCCAAAACAACTTGTCGAGATAATATAAGTTGAAATTTAGGTAAAATTTATTGACTTGTGATAGATAATATGATGCATTGATGTATTAAGAGGCAATTATAAATGTCATGTAGAATTGCCTTTTACTTATAAATTAAATATTAACCCAGAAGTTTTTGAATAACAAAGAAAGTAAAGAACCAAAAAATCTGTTAATCCGAGAACACAATCAATACAAAAGTTAAAATATTGATTAATCGGTTGGTGTTTAAAGCAATTTTAGCACTATTGGCTATTTTTATGGCATTTACTTTTTACTAGTGGGTGAAGCCGGCGTGATTGGAGAGAACCACCGATCTTTGGCAAGAAAACTGACAATTCTTGTCAATAAAGATCTGCGTTGAGCACACCATCTACATGTGGTGTTCGAACTAAAAAATCCTCAGTGCTGACAGGCTAGTAATACAGTAGTTGGACTACTAAGACCAATCGGCCATCGAGGCCCCTAAAAAGTTAAAATAAGATTGTTGACTGATCGGAACATAATTCTGATGAAAACAAAACCAATAACAATATAACAATAAACTGAGGGAAAATATCCCAATACACTTTTTTCTTTCTGTTTAACTATTTCAATCGTTCATCATCAATTTGTTCATCTGTTGTACGGGCGAAACTTTTCAGATTTTTCCTCAACGGCGTGTTGTTTGTTATAAAGGGACGTAACACCACTACTAACCGTGTATTAAAATAAACCACGCCTACTTACCCTATATTAAATATACACGGTCTCCACGCGGTCGCTTTTAATCAATCATATTCCTAGAAATGTATAGGAGGTAAGATAATAGTAAAATATTTAAAAATAGTAAACAGTTTCGCCTAACTGTAACATGTAATAACACATCATACAATAAAATGAAGTTTACATACCTTGAAAATCATTTGTTCTGATAATGACAATTTTTGGTTTGTCTTTAAAAGCTTTCGATTGTCGGATCATTTCAAGTATGCCATCTCTGTCAATTTCCTTGCCATCTTTGTCATATATGAAATCTGGTTTAAATTCCATTCCACCAGAGAAAAAAACTATAACTAAACTATCAAAAGTTGAATTATCTTCATTGTCTAACTGCTTAGCAAGAAATGTCTTCATATCCTGTTGAAAAAAGTATAAAAAGATGCCAAATTTACTTTTGCATTGCAGCAACTGATACTTTACCTAACAAAAGAAGATGCAAACGACTACGATATTAAAACGTGATTCGTCATATTAACCTAAATATTGGTTCCAGTACTTCGTAAGTCCAGTAAAACAAATGATTACATTTATCGATATTTGCACTAAATAGTGCCAGCTGAATAGATGAACAGACCTTAAGCTAGAGTATTCTTGACCCTGAATAGCTGACCTGCAAACACATGTTAGCCTTCTTCTTCTTTTGTAATATTTTTTTTTGTTTTAATTTGTTTTTCATTGAGATAAAGACTTTTGATAAAATTAGGTATTCAATCATACATATTGACAACAGCACTGCCTTCAACGTGCATATTTACTTTACAGTAATTCTAAATACTGAACATTATGATATACCTCTTCTGAAATATCTCTTTTTGTATAACTCTGTTTTGATTCATACTGCATATAATTAAACAGTTGTGAAAGAGAAGTTTTATCAAAGTCCACACAGCTTCCACACCTGTTTACTGCTTTTGCGTCTGTGCTCTGATCAGAACATTGAACATTGGATATAGTGAACACTTTTCCTTTCTTTTTGCCTGTCATATGGTAAACCTAATAATAAAAAAAATACCAGAAGTTCACCGTTTTATTGTAGGTTATTTTATTGAACCTAATTTTGTTGATTAATTGGCAAACGAAATATTGAATGAAAGGGTGCAAAACTGAAACTGCAGTTTCTCTGTACTGAATAGTTTTGTTCCTGACACTGTTTCATCCTTGTGTTTACATGGATTCACATCTGACAGGGGATTTGTTTAAATTTGGACGATTTATTATATCATTTACTAGTAGATACTTTGAATACGCGGACCATAGTTTTTTTTTTTTTTTTTCTTCAAATACTAACCTCTTATCTCATTTCATAAAGGTAAAACATTTGTTCTTATTTCCCACGGCATGTACATAGTTTTTAGTAGCCCCCTGTGTTACAAGAGTAAGATAATACATAATCCCTAAATCGGACAATTGTTTCATGTTACATGTAACAGCTTTTCTCAGCTTTGTTTAGTTTTCTAATTACCTTTCCCTTTTTGCTTTCACAAATCTGTGTGAATGAGTCTTCACTGCACTTTACTATATCACGTTTCTTCACAGATGGCAAACCGTTGAGTAAATCTTGCCAATCTACAAGTTGAACATAACAAGATATACTGTCCTACCAAACAACATTTCATACAGCGACTTTTGATTACACCAGGAGTATTGTTTATAATTGTTTCTGCGCTACAAAACTGTACAATTTGCAATACTTGCAAACTAATTGCGATAAATCATCTCTCCTAAACAAATTGACAAAATAACAAAACAATTATTGTACAACGTGTAATGTATGTCTTACATTTTGTGGTTTAGATTGTAAAACCACGAAGAGCATTACTGCCCAATCAAAGAATAAAAATAGCAGATATAAGAACAATCTTAAAGATTCATGTTCATTCTCGACACTCCTTTGTTGTAACAATATTCAACTGAGTTACTGTGTAAAAATTAACTACCCAAATAAGAATATTTTCGCCATATCTATTTTAAAGTACTTTTTGCTGTAACACTTACAAATCATTTAGTTTGCTTTGCTGTCATAATTGATTTTATGTTGAAAAGATACTAGTAAAGGTTACTAATCTATGATAAACGGGACGATTTCAACTTCCCAATTATCAATTTCCCATTTCTCAGCAGTAACATACCTTCTGCCCCTTCGTATGGTGTTTACATATCTCAATTGATACGTTATTCTCGTGCTTGTTCACACTAAACGAACTTCATATACGGGAGTGTGCTCCTTACACAGAAACTGCTCCAACAAAGTTATGAGGAGGACAGATTAAAAATGACACTCCGTAAATTTTACGGACACCATCACGAATTGGTTAGTCCATACGATGTGTCTTTGTCCAAACTAACTAAGGACATTTTTACCACGTGTTAGATTGTGGTTTGTCATTACGTCGTCGATCTTTTAATTACCGAACGTGACTTATTCCCGATTGTGACTGTTTTGCTGAGTGTGAAACCGTATTGCTATAAGACGTGTCACGGAACCTTTCTATCCCGAATTCATGTATTTAATTTTTATGTTATATTTGTTATTCTCGTCGGATTTTGTCAAATGTTTTAACGTCTTTTCTGTTATATTCGTGTGTTATGGTAAAGATAATTAATCACCCCTTCATTTATTAGATTTTAGTTTGGTTCAACGAAATTTATACGATATATTTGGTTTACAGTTTGATTCAAAAGAAACACCGACATAGCTAGATGATACAATTAATTATCTAATTACTACCACGATTTGATATTAATAAGTATTGTAATTTTCATTGTTATTCATAAATGTAATGTCAGTATTACAAATCTAATCTTGAATCAATCCTGATCCTATCTTATTTTTGGGAAATATTTTTACAAATTCAAATGTGACGTCACTTTGTGTGTTTTTTTAGAATTTCAAATGTGACGTCACTTTGTGCGTTGATGTTTTGGCTAACTCGGCTGTGTATTTTTATATGTTGGATTAAGTTGTTTTGTGTAATGTATCCGTTTTTATTCTGTAGTTAGTCCCCACTTCGGTTTTATCATGTATATCTATTATATAGTCATTTTATAAAATTTACTGTTTGCAAAATTATAAATTATTCTAAATAATAAGGATGTTCTTGTCCCAGGCAGAAAACCCTGGCTGTGTTAGGCGCAACTTTTTGGAAGTTTTGGTCCTCGGTGCACTTCGGCTTTGTACTTGTTTTGGCTTTCAAGCTTTTTTCATCTGGGCGTCACTGGATGGTCTTGTGTGGACGAGACGCACGTCTGGCGTATTGAATTTTAAGCCTAGTACCTTTTGTTAGCTATTATTCGTGTGTTTCTTTGTCCTATATGTTCTCCCATTTATTTGTATTGTGGTCCTGTCATGTGATGTTGTCGTGTTGGTGTTGTGTTTGACTTTGCCATTAAAGCGGGAGGTTTGGCATGCCATAAAACCAGGTTCAACCCACCATTTTTTTCTTAAAATGTCCTGTACCAAATCAGGAAAATGGCCATTGTTATATTATAGTTCGTTTCTGTGTGTGTTACATTTTTAATGTTGTGTTTTTGTTGTGTCGTTGTTCTCCTCTTATATTTGATGCGTTTCCCTCAGTTTTAGTTTGTAACCCGGATTTGTTTTTATCTCTATCAATTTATGAGTTTCGAACAGCGGTATACTACTGTTGCCTTTACTTAAGCTAAACGTATCACAAAAACCTAACATTATTATGATCCATGTAAATGACATCAAGGTCAAGATCAAGGTCAAGGTTAAAAGAATTCTGACTGACTGACATAAAAAAAGATGTAGTATGATTGCCAATGAAACAAATCTCTACCAGAGACCAAATGACACAAAAGTTATAAACTATAGGTCACCATATTGCCTTGTACAATGTACACAACCCATACCGCATAGTCAGCTATACAACGCTCCGAAATGACAAATTGTATGTAAAACAATTCAAACGAGAAACTAACGGCCTGATTTATGAACGAAAAACAAATATGATATACAGCAACAAACGACAACCTCTGAATTACAGGCTCCTGAAGTGGGACGGCCACATACAGAATATGGTGGGGTTAAACATGTTTGCTGGCGCCCAACCCTCCACCTAACATTGAACAGGAGTGTAACAGTACAACATGAGAACAAACTATACAGATCTGTCCAAAAGGGCTCAACTTATCAGATTGATATAAAGCAGAAAAAACAAGTAACAAAAACACAGACCGGACGCGGAAATGAAATTAAAATTCCCCCATAACAAAAAAGACACAAAATGCAGATCTGAGAGTTTTAGCAGTTACTAACAACTAGGTCAGCTTAATTATATCTAATTAAAAAAATCATGAATCTAAGGCTAAAATATCAATCAGTACACACCCAACATCCAAAAAGTCTTTTTAATTGATCGATAAGTTTACCAGGATTGTATCTATATTTCCGGGCTCAGTTGACAACATCTCTCAACATTATGATGTGATATCCCGTCTGAAAAACGTATTCTACAGGTACAGCCAAACTGCCAGACCAAATATTTATATCTATGGAAGAATTTAGTTAAGGTTTCAGGAAATTTGTGATTACGAAGCCCTGACTTAATAATTTACCAATAATGCATAGATCACGTTCATTGAAATCCAAAACCTCATTACAGACACGGGAATAGCGAACTAGTTGAAATACATAAACACTGTAAGATGGTGCTAAAGGAATATCACTGTCCAAAAAAAGGAACATTAACAATAGGGAACTAATAATCGTCCAATTTGTCCTAATTTTTTGTGTAGAGTTTGTGTAAAACTTAAATATCTAAATCTAGGAAGGACATTTTTACCGTTTTTATAGTTTTTAATATCATCGAAAAGAGGCCCAATATACCAAAGGGATATTCAAACTCATGAGTCGAAAACAAACTGACGATACCATGGATAAAAACGAAATACGACTAAGATACAAACAACAATTAAAAAAAAAAAAAAAACACAAGAACGAAAGTTATGAATATGTTCTATATGATTATGCTGAAAATATAAACACTTTTTTTTTCTTATTTCATTCAGCCCCTAGACATTCTATGATAAACTAAAATATGCATCACTAATAAATATTGTTTATAATACCCATTGATATAGATAATTTGTATGGTATGTGTTGCTACTGATATTTAAACTTTCTTTCGTAGGTGAACGTGTCTATACAATAAAACAAATCTATTCTGTTTTTAGAAATGTACCTGTGATGATATAAACGTCACAAAAAAAACGTCACTTTTTGTTGCGTTAATACAATCGTGTGACGCATAGGTTATAATTAGTTTGTGGTGTCCTGGTGTGCTGTCGTGGATTCATGGGAGGTGTCCGTTGTTATTCTGTGGTTTACATGTTGTAATGTACTATTATATTATTCGTTTATGTGTTTCTCTGTCCTGAGTGTTCTTGAGTTTATTTATACTGTATTCCTATAGTCACGTAATATTGTCATTTTAGCGGTATTTTTAACATTGCCATATAAGTAGGATGTTTGACTATCAAAAAAACATGTTCAACCCACCATTTTTTCTTAAAATGTCATGTACCATGGTAGGAATTTGGCAGTTCTTATCATATAGTCCGTTTCTATATATGTAGTCGTTTGTTTTTGTTGCAGTTCAGTGTTTCTGTTGTTCCGTTGTTTTCCTCTTATAGTTGATGTCTTTTCCATCGGTTTTGGTTTGTGACCCGGATTTGTTTTCGCTTAATCGATTTATGACTATTGAACAGCGGTATGCTACTGTTGCCTTTATTTAGAGATGCAGTATTAGTATAAAAATTATTATCATAATTTTATATGACTTATTTATATGACAGTTGTTTTCCATTCGTTTGATGTGTTTGAGCTTGTGACCCGGATTTGTTTTCTCTTAATCGATTTTTGACTATTGAACAGCGGTATACTACTCTTGCCTTTATCTTACACACTGAACGATAATGATCGGGACAACACTTAATTAGATTAAGCCGTTTAATAAGGGACTTTCCGTTTTGAATTTTCCTTGGAGTTCGGTATTTTTATTACTAGTATTTCACTTTTTAGTTAATGACTGTATGAATATCAAATATTGGTACGATCATATTGATTATGATGACATGAAGTTTAAATTATTTGAATCATTAGCTTTGAAGATTAATAAAAGGAGGAATTGATGCTTGTTTCCTGATATTTCACAATTTAAAGTACAAATTAGTATTTTTTTATTTATATTTTGATTTATTTCTCCGAAGACAAAACCACAGATTCTATGATTTTTTTTAAGTCGAGATATGATTCTGGTGTATTTCAGGAAAAGGATGTAAATTTTGTTCAGATCTTATTCATCAAAATATTAATATTCCTTACTCAAGAGTTATGCAAAAAAAATATGATACTTTCAAAGCAACATACCAAGTTTGACATCCCATGTAAAAGCTAATATGGAGGTTCAGTTAACAATTTTTAAATCAATATAATGCTGAAAAAATAAATGCAGGGTTTTTTCCCATTTCTTCTCCATCTCATATTTGTCGTACCTTGTATATTTGGTGATTCTAATTTGTTTGTTTTCTCTGGATTTTCGGAGTATTGATGTTCTGTCTTCTGTGTATCACCGTTGCCATCTTTAGGCTTTGACAAGGAAGTATCTGGTTTTCTTGAATTTTCTGAATTTACTTCATTTCTTTTAGAGCCATCCTTCTCTATCAAGTAATCAGCAACTTCTCTATTCCCTGTTTCACAGAGCGCTTTAATAAAACTTTCATAAGCTTTCATTCCTCTCTGTGGTAAGATAGATAAACGTTCCCTGGTCTGTCCAACAGGCTTTGGCTTTTTATGCTGCAATGTAACATTGAAAAATATACATCATCGGTGAAATTCTTGTTTATGGCATCCTTATTGCTTGATAGTTACTCTTGCAAGTGCAAACATACTCAGACTGGTGCATTCTTTATATTTTACAATAATATGCTGTGTTCTTACTTGAATAATAATGAATTTAGAATATACTGCTATATTGGGATAAGTAGAAAGTGCGTATACAAAATGCAAATTTTGCAATCATATTCGAAGACAGAATATACCTTATAGAGAGGGTTCAAAATGCAAGAAAAATCTATACAATCTAAACTTTAACTCTTTCAATTTCTGCTGCATGTTTTCCAAATGAACCACATTTCAATGCATGTAGGTTAGGATGCAGGTTGGCGCCTGTTAAAAAGTTTAAACCCGCTGCATTTTTATGCAACTGTCCTAAGTCCGAAGCCTGTTGTTCAGTGGTTGTCGTTTGTTGGTGTGGTTCATAAGTGTTTCTCGTTTCTCGTTTTTATATAGATTAGACCCATGGTTTTTTCTGTTTGAATTGTTTTGCACTAGTCAGTTTGGGGCCCTTTATAGCTTGCTGTTCGGTGTGAGCGAAGGCTCCGTAATGAAGTCCGTACTTTGACCTATAATTGTTAAATTGTAATTGTAAAAATGTAATCAATTTAACTCATTTTCCTCCACTTGTTTTGTTTCCTTCCTGATTTGTTCAGAATGACATAACATTGTTTGACTCACATTTCAAATTTGATAACTTTCAAACTAGCTATACAATCTTCTAACATTTATTTAATGGCTATATATGGTGTTTATAATAGAGGGGGATCATGGTGCACCTCACGCCTTCGTCAAGATTAGGTAAACGTAGTCGTATATTTCTATGACAATAATCTGCCTACCATAAACATGTCACTTTACAATTTTAATTGCATTCCTTTTCAACTATAAATTTGAGTGTTTTCATTCAAAAGAGGCGGGAGATATAAAAGGTATATTCAAATTCATGAGTCGAAAACAAATGACAATACATGGCAAACACTAACGACTAAGCAACACGAACCCCACAGAAAAAAACATTGGGGAAATCTTCGGTGATCCGGGTAAGCAGAGGCTGTTCCACATGTAACACCCGTCGGATTAACGGGTAAGGATTATAGCTGTAGACGAAGATAAATGCTAGCTGTTTTGAATAGCTCGTAATGCTCTTCAGTCTAACTAAAAGTGGTAAGTGCAGTCAAAAGGCTCGGAAGTAAGCAGAAACGTGTGCGCACATCTCTTTGATATAGGTTCACAAACTGCATCCGCTCATGGATTTGGTTTTTTTTTATATGACAAAACATTAGCTTCAGTTTCAGTTATGTTTGTAGTGGGATATATACAAATGTACCTAAATTCAAGGTATAATGACAAAGTCAATGACCAAATATAAAAGAAAAATAAAAGGTATCAATACACAAGTTTAAAAATCTGGGACTTATGAATCACCTCAATTTAATGCCAGTCATCCTTACATTCCTAATGACAGTTGATACTTAAAATTTTCTGATGTGATGCTAAAAACACCATAGAAAAACCTTCTTTTCCATGAATATCTGACCAACTTAAAATTGTTCATAATTGTGGATGAAAATGTTAACAATCAAACCAACATATTATCTCAAGCTTGAGATAATGGAGTTGCAATTGAAGTAATGATACTGGTCTTTTATCTCCTTATTGTTATTTTATAGAACATATTTGTGAACATATGAATACTACATGTACAAATGAGACATCTATCAACCAGATTAAAGGAAATTGATGTTAACAGTAGAAGGTCGCTGTCAGCCTTTATTAATGGTCATATACCGTACTGTATATTAAGTTATACAATTCATTTATTTTCATAGTAATATCCCTTCAAAGGTTAAACAGCCTTTGTTAGCTCTGATATTGTCTCACAATGTCACATATGAATGTGTAAATATAAATAACGATTACATTTATTTTTAAAAGTAATTGTTTTAACTTTCACCCCTGACTATACATAACAAATAAAGTTTAAATCAATTTGTGCAATATTATCAGAGGTGAATATCTTTGAAACAAAAATGAAAGTAGTTACATAGCAATAATTCCTCACAAAAGTCTAAAGACAGTTTTTTTGCATGTGATTTATTTGTTTATACCATGCCCTGCATATCTATGTTTTAATGTTCAGTGTCTTTAAAATATTGAGAATAGTTTTTAATATACCAGTATGAAAAGAGGTAATTTACATTAAATTATCATTCAAGTGCAATAACTTCTACAAGGACACGAACAATTCAATTAATGATTTTAGTCAAATGGATATTTTGTAGATCTTGAATTGCTGATAAATTTTGTTGTTTTGGTTACCTCTAGTCTAGAATATTTCTTTTCAAAATAATATGCAGAAATGTTGAAAATGTTGAAAAGGGTTGAAAATATGTTAAGATTGTGATTTATGAAAACACACTTATAATATCATATATGTTGTAAACCGATAAGCAATAAAACTTCTCTTCAAAGTTCGTTTTCGAACAACTTGAATATCGGAAATATAGATATATAACTGAAACAAATGTGTACTTTCAAAGATAACACCAATGCAAAATGTTACAACTATACACGAGCTTATTGTGATACATAAATTCAGTGAATGTAACTCTCTCATTTCTTTTCTCGTTTTAGCTATACGTTTAGTCCTTTTCTGATATATCAGCTTTTCAAAGTTGGTTTAAGGTTTTCATTTTCAAAACTTTTGGACTCAAGCATCACTGAAGAAGAACTATTGGCACATCGTGTGCGGTAATTTGTTACGTTTGATATGTGTACCGAACAAATGTAATATCGACATCAATAGCAAAATCCATCCAAGAACACAATATCTTAAAAGAGTCAAACTGATGTCAAATAACCTTCAACCCCAAAAAGTAAATAGTCTTATATGTTGCTCGATCTGAAATGTTTGTGCAGTGTTTTCTAGACTGCCTACGTTTAGAATCACAAAAAAGAGGAACAGCCAAATACGGCCAAACCAGGAGAATGATAATTCACTCATCACTTATGTTTCATATTTCAGCCAATAACTTTTCTTTGAACATAAAATGAAATTTCCAGTTCAAAACGTGATTTAGGAAACCTACCTGATTTATCAAACATGCAGTCTCTTCTGCATAATGCCAGAAATCTTGCTTCTGGTATGCCACTTAATAGGCGTAAATGTTGGTCGGTGCATGTGTAGCCAACTAGATAAACATTTTTTTCTAACGCAAGAATAAATATTCATAGCATGTTCATTTAATCCGAAACCGAGAAAGGACAAAGTTCACGAAAGAGATACGTCAATGGATTTAAAAAATAACAAAAATCCCGAACTCCTAAATAAATTCAAAACGGAAAGTTCCTTATCAAATGGCAAAATAAAAAGCTCAAACACACAAAACGAATGGAAAATTTGATAGGCTTTTCTTCAACATTTGTTTTGAACTATTTTTGTAAGGAGTAACCCTTTAAATAAAGGCAACAGTAGTATACCGCTGTTCGAAATTCATAAATCGATTGAGAAAAAAACAAATAAAATTTAATACGCAATAGTAGCTTACAGAAGATACCAGGTTTAAAATTTAAATGTTTGCATCTTCGTGTAGTTCTGTTGAATGAGATTTAATAATTTCTACCCGAATGAGCTACAGAGCTACATGAGCACGTGGTTGACCTTTATGGAATAACCGTTTCACAGATGACAACGAATATGTTCCAACTGTCGTAGCTTCAATCTCGTCCCCTTTTTTTCCGAATATGACCTATCAAATTAGACTCATCACCAGGTTTTACTAACATGACGGGTGCCACATGTGAAGCTTGATCTTCTTACCCCTCCGGAGCACATAAGATCCCCCAGTTTTTGGTAGGGTTTCTGTTGCTCAGTCTTAAGTTTTCTAAGTTGTGTTTTGTGTACTGTAGTATGTTTGTCTTTTTCTTTTTAGCCATGGTGTTGTCAGTTTATTTTCGACTAGTGAGTTTGAATGTCCCTTTAGTATCTTTCGCCTCTCTTTTGACTGTCTATCAATAAAATAATAATCTTCTCTCCAACCTCTCAGTATATATTTTCATTTGTGTTGTATTTTATCTTTTTTGAGGATATGAATCAATCATGTTGAGCTATGTTAGTGTATATTTCGAATAATATCTATATATAAGGTTGCGCAAAATATTGTGCGGTATTTTGATAGAGGGTTGCTGCTTACAAAGAAGCTATTATTTCAAGAGTTCAAGTGGTGAAGTTGAAATCATCTCTTCCAAATTTTTACCGAACCCATCATGAGTTGTTTGATCGTCATGGAATGATCACAGGTGACGACGGATATGTTCAAATCGTCGTAACCACTATCCCGCCCTGAATGTGACCTACTGAATAAGCCTTATCACCGGGTTTGTACTTACATGAGCAACACGACGGGTGTCACATGTGGAGCAGAATCTGCTTACCCTTCCGAAGCACCTGAAAGCACCCTCGGTTTCGAGTGGAGTTCGTGTTGCTCAGTCTTTAGTTTTTCTATGTTGTGTTTTGTATACTAATGTTTGTTTTTTTTTTTCTTTTTCTTTTTTTGGCATGAAGTTTTCAATTCATTTTCGATTTATGAATTTGAATGTGCATTTGGTATTTCGCCTTTCTTCTGCTGGTAAACCTATTTTATTTTGTGCTGTATTTACACTACACACATAACAAACAAAAACAATTGATCTTCTGATATTTTCTTTTAATCAATTTTTTGCTCTGATCAGTTCACATTTCGTTTACAAACCATTTTTACAATATTATGTCAATATTGTTCGCTAATATATTGTATAAAATACTATATTCATATCTTCTGGTGCTCGAAATTCAAGAGATTATTTATCATGTGCGATGACCTATATGTTTTCAACTTCCATGTCATTTGGTCTCTGGTGTACAGTTGTCTCATTCGCAATCATACCACATTTTCTTATTTGTAAACGAGCTCTATTTGATAGAATATTAGATTATGTAGAATTGATGTTCTAAGTTTAAAGGAATAAATAAAGGCAACAGTAGTATACCGTTGTTTAAAAGTAATCAATCGATTGAGAGAAAACGAATCCGGGTTACAAACTAAAACCGAGGGAAACACATCAACTATAAGAGGAAAACAAAGGAACAACAGGAACACTGAAATGCAACAAAACAAAAGCCAACAAACATTGAAACGAACTATTTGATAAAACCTGCCATATTCCTGACTTGGTACATGACATTTTAAGAAAAAATGGTGGATTGAAACTGGTTTTATGGCTAGCCAAACCTCCCGCTTATATGACAATGTTAACAAATATCGCTAAAATGACAACACTACGTGACAGAAATACAGCACAAACATACGCAAGAACACTCATCACAGAGAAACGCACAAACAAATAAAATGATATTCGACACAACATGCAAACCGCAGAACAACAACGAACATCTTCCATCAACGACAGACACCACAGGACATCACAAACGCTGACGCACTTACGTAACGAACATGCAATTTCGAGCTTTATACAATTATTTTCACAATACCAGACTTAACAATTTTCATGACAATGATGGTACTGAAAGGCTATTTTATAATTATTTGAACTACAAACGATAAGACATAACACATTATCCAACCGAAACCATAACAGAAACAATAAAAAATAAATACATGAATGTTGGATGTAAAACGACATGTAGGAAATCGTTTTGTGACCCCTGCACGTCATCATGGATTATCGTTGTACAAATATAAACCCTTACGTAAAGCAAATTATCTCTTTATGATATATAGATAATTATAACAATTTTAAAAACAAAAACAAACGGACACTATGACGTCCATTATCACTGAACTAGTATACATTTTTGTTTAGGGGCCAGCTGAAGGACGCCTCCGGGTGCGGGAGTTTCTCGCTGCATTGAAGACCCATTGGTGGCCTTCGGCTGTTGTCTGCTCTAGGGTCAGGTTGTTGTCTTTTTATACACATTCCCCATTTCCATTCTCAATTTTACTCTAGTAACGATGAAAATAACTATGGAAAGCCAAAAAGAGATAATTTCAATTGACTTGATATAAAAAATGTACAAGTAAAATGTCCCAAGCCGTTGGATAGACCTTCGTTATATTTCAATCCTCTTAATATTATGCATATAGTAAGCTAACATATAAATACAAATGATATCAATATGGATTTGGTAAATTTTCTTGACTTCGATATTTACGAGGGGGGAGAGGGCTCAAAAAGCCAGTTTGATATTCAAAATATACAGCAAAAGACTACTGGAGACAGCTTACTTGACCCTGAGACCACCTTAGTGTTTCAATGTGAATGAACTTTTGCTATCCCTTAGACTAGGTATAGATGCAGATCATATCTGAAGTATTATCAAGAAATATATTATCTTAAATACGTACATATTTTGTAATGTGCAAAATTTCATGTCGGTCATAAGATCAGGAAGGTCTATTTAACGCATTTGGCCTGTTGATTTTCGTTGATTTTTTTAAAATAAGATAACTCTTTAAATCTCCTGTACATGTCGATAGTAAAATTGTTCAATTATATTACTTTGATAGTATTGATATCGTTGACTACCCTAACTGTAATCCAAATATATAGACATTGATCCGGAAAGACTCACTGTCATTTCAGCGGCGCCTGGTTCTCTTTTGCAACAGATTTTGATTTTGAACTGGCACTTTGAGCTCTTCGTACATATTGAAGGCAAAATATTTCGGAATCCACAAATTCTTCTTTAAATATCGAATCGGTTGTTGGTGCCCGTTGGATATTGAAACTCGAATAACGAATAACGAACCGGCCGCTAACGTCGCATACATAAATTGTCAGTCGCAAGCCTCTACTCTGAATTCACGAGGAAAAGGGATATATGCATATCAGGAGTCGGTCTTTTTCAGACAAAAATCGTGAAACTGTAATCTCCATATTAATTGATATTTGTCGATAAAATTGACAAAATGCTATCGATAGTTCGGAGAACAGCAAAAACTTTTCAATACGGTGTAGAGTTTACTGAAATCCTAACCATTGGTAGATAAAGGTTGAAGCATTGTTACTTCAGCGTATCTAGTAGTAATAGTATTCGGCTTTAGAAGATTTAAATTCTTACCTGAAGTAGCTGTTCAGACGCTTTGCCTACGTGATAATGTGTTTTATTTTACTAACTTTTCAGAAGAAATAAATTAAAGTCCTTGATTATTTTCCTGGAAAAGATATGATCCCGCTGTGTTGTTGTTATGGCCCCAGTGTTTTCCTTGAATTAAACTCGAACAGGTTCTCAGTAAAATGTGTCTTATAAGTAGGTTACTATTGTTTTAAAGATGTTTAGTTAAAAATACAACACAAAATGTTGTATTTTTAATTAAACATCTTTAAAACAATAGTAACCTACTTATAAGTTACTGACCTTTATTCAACGTACACTGGTTTCATCCGGGATTAACTTCCTCATGTTCCTGCATTACAATTAAACTTATCTAGAACAGTTTACTTTCGATTTCCTAGTTGTGAATACAACGTTAGGTACAAAGAGGGTCCACAACGTAGCAAATTATGATTTCTTACTATTATACAAATAATAATAACAATATTTAATAAAATTAATTAACAAATAAATATGATATTTGAAGAAAATCAATGAGTTTAACCCTTTAAGGTAGTGAGAATGTCAGGAAAAGATATTGATTCTTCTTAATAAGAAATCAACAAATGTAATGAATAAAAGCTGATGTTGGCTACACGACTATTCAACAACAGCCCCGAAATAATTTAAAATCATCCAGATGTCTACATAAAGTTTTCAACAATAAATGGAAATAATCCTTTATATATTTCTTGCGTCTGAAGATCTTTTCTGAAATATTTGCCTTCATCGGGAATGCCCAAACTCAAATATCTGAAAATCAGGGATGTAAAGTGGTGAGAAACTATACGGCTATTAAAGCCTAAAAATCTATTTCAACTTGATCAACTTTGCCTGAAGGAGTTGGAACCTATGTTTTTAAATTGTTTCTTAATTTGTCAACGGAACTGAACTGAGCTGAAAATATCCCTAGATACTAACAGTCAACCAACAGTGTTTTTGAGCCAGTGCTTGTAAATGAAAATCAAATTTATTAATTTAGTATTTGAAGCGCTTTTCTGACCCTTCAGAGGCGAGCACATGCGTTCTATCCTAGCCTTGTTTAAAAATGTTTCATGTCGCTTCGACTCCCCTTTCTGTGTTATGTTTTGAACTATTTCATTTTTTATAAATGTAATGTTTTCACCAAAAACAGTATAGCCTATCCTTTTCCCTTGAAAACCATATTCATATTCACTCAAATTAAAGGGTTAGGAAATCCACGTGGACGATACTTTAAACATATAATGATGTCTTACGGATACATAAGAAACAATAGCAAGTGTTCACACGAAGAAAAACTAGAGGCTCTCAAGAGCCTGTGTCGCTCACCTGTATTTACTGATGCTTTGGAAATCATGTAAAAAAAGGTTAAAATCATAATTAATAGTATTAGATATTAGATATCATAATGATATCTAAGCTAATAACAAACTAGAGGCTCTAAAGAGCCTGTGTCGCTCACCTTGGTCTATGTGCATATCAAACGAAGGACACAGATGGATTCATGACAAGATTGTGTTTCGGTGATGGTGATGTGTTTGTAGATCTTACTTTACTGAACATTCTTGCTCCTTACTATTATCTCTATCTATAAGGAACTTGGCCCAGTAGTTACAGTGAAAAATATTATGTAAAAATTTACAAAAATTTACAAAATTTACGAAAAATGGTTAAAAATTGACTATAAAGGGCAATAACTCCTTAAGGGGTCAATTGACCATTTTGGTCAAGTAGACTTATTTGTAGATCTTACTTTGCTGAACATTATTGCTGTTTACAGTTTATCTATATCTATAATAATATTGAAGATAATAACCAAAAACTGCAAAATTTTCTTAAAATTACCAAATCAGGGGCAGCAACCCAACAACGGCTTGTCCGATTCATCTGAAAGTTTCGGGACAGATAGATCTTGACCTGATAAACAATTTTATATCATGTCAGATTTGCTCTAAATGCTTTGGTTTCAGATATATAAGCCAAAATCTACATTTTACCCCTATGTTCTATTTTTAGCCATGGCGGCCATCTTGGTTGGTTGGCCGGGTCACTGGACACATTTTTTAAACTAGATACCCCAATGATGATTGTGGCCAAGTTTGGTTAAATTTGGCTAAGTAGTTTCAGAGAAAAAGATTTTTGTAAAAGATTACAAAAATTTACGAAAAATGGTTAAAAATTGACTATAAAGGGCAATAACTCCTTAAGGGGTCAAATAACCATTTTGGTAATGCCAACTTATTTGTAGATCTTACTTTACTGAACATTATTGCTGTTTACAGTTTATCTCTATCTATAATAATATTCAAGATAATAACCAAAAACTGCAAAATTTCCTTAAAATTACCAATTCAGGGGCAGCAACCCAACAACGGGTTGTCCGATTCATCTGAAAATTTCAGGGCAGATAGATCTTTACCTGATAAACAATTTTATATCATGTTAGATTTGCTCTAAATGTTTTGGTTTCAGATATATAAGCCAAAATCTACATTTTACCCCTATGTTCTATTTTTAGCCATGGCGGCTATCTTGGTTGGTTGGCCGGGTCACCGGACACATTTTTTAAAAATAAATACCCCAATGACGATTGTGGCCAACTTTGGTTAAATTTGGCCAAGTAGTTTCAGAGGAGAAGATTTTTGTAAAAGTTAACGACGACGGCGACGACGACGACGACGACGGACGACGGACGCCAAGTGATGAGAAAAGCTCACTTGGCCCTTTGGGCCAGGTGAGCTAAAAACCCGTTATTCTTAAGAGAGAACTCTGACATATAAAGTATAAACCATTGCATTATTACAACAGAACAGCGGATATTATAGTGTATATGTACTCCAGAAACACCAATCAAATGCACATACGAACTGTAAACTGAAAATGTGAATAGTATAGTAGAGAATACACATTTGGCTTATAGATATATAATGCATCCTATGATTTCGTTTTATAACATATAGGTAGAACAATTTTTATGGCTGTAACCCACGGTGTGGAATTGATAACACGTGGATCTTTAATGCAGCATTCACAAATTATGTAGAAGACATTGAAAACCACAGTAAGTTTGACATAATGAACTGCTAACTCTGAGATCTGTCACTCACGTATTGCAATAGAATTAAAATATAGTGAAGCTTGGATTACGAAACGGTAAAATGTTATTACTTTATTCCTCAGACTTACTGATATCATAGCATATCAATTGACCTAATTGCAAACAAACACATATGTACTATGCAGATCAAGAGCTAACCAAATAATCTTCATCGAAGTATAATGTGCCTATACTAATACAACTAAATACCAAAAAGTAAAATAACAAAAATACCGAACTCCAAGGAAAATTCAAAACGGAAAGTCGGTTCTCAAATGGCAAAATCAAAAGCTCAAACACATCAAACGAATGGAAAAAAAACTGTCATAATACTAACTTAATAGACATAATAGGTAAAAATGTGAAAAATTGGGGTACAGCAGTAAACATTGTAATATAATCTTAATCACCATAAAAACAAATAACTATTTCAACAATGAAAAAACAAAATGGCATATACCCTTACTGAAATAAAGACCTTCCTGCAAACATTTGCAGCGTATTTGCAGCTTGCTTGCCGCAAACATTTTCCATAAAAATAAAGAGGTTGCGGCATACTTGCTACATAAATGCCACAGACCTGCCGCAAACAATTTACCATGCAAATTAGGTTTGCTGCTGGTCTGCTGCAAACACCAAATATGTCATTTTTGGAATGTTTCCTGCAAACTTGAGGCGAACATTGCTGCAGACCTACCGCAAACATCGCTGCATTTTTGCTGCAAACCTGCCGCAAACATCCTTCCGCGAACATTTGCGGCAGGTACAGATGTGCTGCAAATCTGCCGCAAACATTTTACCATTCAAATTATGTTTGCGGCAAGTCAGCCGCAAACACATGATTTTCCTTATGAGAATGCATGTAAATTTATTTAAATTATTTACTGCAGGTATGCCGCAAACACAACCCTTCCAACAAAACTGCAAACATATTCATATATACAACTGACAAGGTCAAAAAACATAAAACAATTTTATTGACCAAACTTTATGTATGCAGAATTTTATTTACAGAAGATTTTGATATCCTATTAATCTTTTATACTGCAGCTAGAAAACTTTTCTGTTGTAACAGTGACAATTTGTAGAAAAGCTGATTTTATGTTATTTAAACTCTTTTTCATAATCAAAATCTTTCCTAGAAAAAAATAACAAAGTGACATTGGGCACAATTGTTACGTAACCTATCTTCACAATCAGAGGTTCATGAAAATGACTAATATACATGACATGACATGGTAATACATTATATATATTCACAATGTGACAAAAGACTGATAGCAGAGAACTCTACAATTATAACTAACCAATGATTTCAGATTTATCTTTCCAAGTATCGGGACAAGAACGATAATAACGTGACAAAAATATTTCTTATTGTTCTGTTAGCTAGATATATACCAATATAAAATGGAAGTTCTCAACACATTGCATGTATCAAACTATGAAGTGGTATATTGAAACTGAATGTTGAAGTTGATTGTTTTTCTGATATACCAAGAGAACTACATTTATGTAAAAAAAATGTATATGTTTGAAAGAATGTGAACATTATTCATACAGCTTCAATAGTTCTCTTGACAAAAATCAATCTTATATACACTTAATTTCTCACAATCATATATATCTGCTGACCATTTTGGCAGATATTGGTCTTTAATGCATGTCTTTTAAACATAACATTAAACGATATCTTAATATTATTCTAGTAAATCCAAACATAGTTCATTCCAAAACTAAATAACAATTCATAAACATTAGAAGCCCATTTCATTTTATCAGGATTTCCATCCTCATATAAAATTTCATATTGAAGATACAGATATTGATTAAGTAAATCAAAACTAAATATATGGACTACTTCAGCACTTTATGAAAAAACATAATAGATGGTTAATAGTAAAATGGTGTGGTGTGCAGCCTATAACACACATACTAAAACACATCCTCTTACAAAGCCAAGTAAAACTAAAAATAGATAAATAAGCACTTGTGGGAACAAAATTACTAAGGGGTACGAACAAAATTACTCTTGACTACAAAAAAAATCATTATTTCAGCGCACTGGTAAATATTGATACTACAGTCTAATTGTTAAGGCAAC